TTCTCTGAGGGTACTGGTGCCACATGACAGTTTTTCCGAAAAAACAGGCGACCATTTATTTTAAAGTGCTTCGAGCGCGAACAACTTTTGTTGGGTTAGGTTCAGTTTGAAAGACCCACACAGTCGACTGCTGTTTAGTTTCCGGCTCATATGCATAGATCCATGACTCGTCACCTGTGTAGAGGTTATATACGGCATTTGACGCACCTCGATCGAATTTCTTCAGCATTTTTTTGCACCAATTTACGATCCTTTTTTTGAGCAATTGTCAAATTATGCAGGATCCAACGTGAACAAATTTTTTTTACGGCCAAATGTTCATGCAATATCATTTGTATGCAATTCATACCAACACCCAGGGATGCCTGAATCTCACGGTACCTATGTCACATGTCGATCTTGCATTATCAATTCACGCACAGCATCGATGTTTTCTGACGCAACAGCTGATTTTGGACGACCTTCGCGAGATTCGTCGGTGAGCGAACTACGACCACGATTGAATTCATTAAACCAGCGACAAATAATGGCCTTGTGTGGTGCTTCATTGCCAAAAGTGGAAGCAAGTTGATCGATGCACTCTTGTCTCGATAATCCACGTCGAAAGTCGTAAAAAATCATCGCACGAAAATGTTCTCGTGTTAATTCCATTTTTTCGCTGAGACATAATTTTCAAGTCACTGTAAACAATACAAGTAGTCTCCGTACAACAAAACGTTTCGAGTCAAAAAAATCTTCCAAACTGTCAAACTTTTTGATGGTAAGGTTAGATTTTGCCTAGCAATGTCAGTGTTGCCAACTCGCAAAACTTACGGAGCAGCCCTCGTGTGCGTGTGTGTATAAGGTGTAGTAAGGTGTAAAAATCCATTATTTTTGCACGAAATTGAAGGTTTTATTTAGCATAGTTAGAATGATCCGATTTAGATCAAATATGCACCGTTTTGTTCGATAACTTGCAATTTTCAAGGTAATTCCATTATGCCTCTCTCATAGAAACCCTTGTCCCTATTGGCAAAAAACTGGGACAGTCGATTTTCACAAGCTTCTCTTGAGGCGAATTTTTCACCAGCAAAATCATTCGCCATAGACAGGAACAGGTGGTAATCACTTGGTGCCAGGTCCGGACTATAAGGTGGATTCATAAGAATCTCCCAACTAAGCTCCCGGAGCTTCTGGCGAGTCACTATCGATGTGTGTGGCCTGGCGTTGTCCTGCTGGAACACAATTCCTCTCCTATTGGCCAAAGCTGGCCGCTTCTGGGTGATTGATTCCTTCAGACGGTCCAATTGTTGACAGTACAGAATTAAGAGTTTGGCTGTAGGGGAGCAGCTCATAGTAGATGATTCGCTGCCAATCCCACCAAACACACAGCAAAGCCTTCCTGACCGTCAATCCTGGCTTGGCCACCGTTTGCGCCGGCTCACCGCGTTTCGACTACGACCGTTTTCGCTTGACGTTGTCGTAAGTGACCCACTTTTCATCACCAGTCACCATCCGCTGCAGAAATGGGTCGATTTTGTTACGATTCAGCAGCGATTCGCAGATGGAAATTCGGTCCATGAGGTTTTTTTGCGTTAACGTATGGCACCCATATATCGAGCTTCTTTTTGTATCTAGTCTTATTGAAGTGGTTCCAAACTGTTTTTTGTGCAATGTTTAGCTCCTGGGCAATCGAAACAGTGCTTACATGACGGTCGGACTCGACGATTTCCATCATTTTCAACAATTGGCCTTCCAGAGCGTGGTGCATCTTTGACATCAAAATTACGGGAACGGAATCGACGAAACCAAAATTGCGCGTGACTTTTAATCTTAACAGTATTTTGCGTAAGTATTTCATCACTTAGCAAAGTATTATACAGGGTGTCCCGCGTAAGACGGACCAAAAGAAAAATATAAGTAGAACACATAAAAGTAAACAAAAATTGTACACGTCATTTTTCAAATATATTAATTAAAATAGTTGGACAAATTAGAACGCGCGACGTGACAGGCGGGACATACGGCTCGCAGCGTTCGACGAAGAAAATGGAAGAACGCACGCGTACGCGGACGCACACACGGAGCTACTCTTTTCAGTATGCCAAACGGCCCACCTCTCTGGCCTCTAAGATAGGCCCGCGAGCAATCATCCATTTTCTGCGTCGGCCGCGGCGAGCCGCCGTATGTCCCGCCTGCCGTGTCGCCGCGCTCTGATATGCTCAACTATTTTAATTAATATCTTGAAATTTTATGTGGTTGTTTGAAAAATGACCTATATAATTTTTGTC